GAGAGCTGGTTTGGAAGTAGAACAGCCAGGTTTCGAACCAGCACCCATATGGGATGCTGGCGCATCAGGCCAGGGCATTAACCCGCTGTGCCACAGCGCCGGCCTCCAGGGCTATAAGTTTTTGAGCAGACTGCGTTGCCCTTCTTATCTCACATTAACGGGTATATGCTACCAACATGACTTACTATTGATGACGTTAATTTTGACTACCTAACCAACCAACACATATTTGCAGGTTTCTCCACCATAAAGTTACAGTCCTCTTATCTTTCCATAGTGGTTATATGCTAAGTACAGCTCACACATGGGGTTATGGGGTCTGAGCTCTACCTCACAAAGGGGAAAGTATAATTTTACATTGAATGGTATTGAATAGTCTCCCAGAGATTTTATATGTAATAAATGATGAAACATTATCAATAATGGAGGGACTGCAGTTCTGGTGATCTCTGGAAAAATGAAACATTAAGTGGTACACTCCCCGGTGGAAGTGGGTTAGAGGCCTGGGACAGCCTGGCACAGCCCTTCCTTTTGGCCTTTTGCCATTGTGGGCCATGCTTCCCCGGGTCTCCAGGACACGTGGCCTTCAGGCCACCTGCCCCATTTCCTGGCCTCCATGCTCTTCCACGTGGCTGGCTCCTGATACTCAGTGTGAATCCAGATTTCCCTCTCTCCTATAGATAGGGCCCTCACTCTCCTATGCATTTCTCTCACTGAAGAAAAAGCTTAAAACTTAAAAAAAAAAAAAAAACCCTCACCAAAAAAACATGTGGTATTTACTTGCAGGGAAACATGGTTCCTCATGTTGAATTTTTTTTTAAAGTTTTATTTATTTATTTGAAAGGTAAGAGTTATAGGCTAATCCTCCGCCTTGAGGTGCCGGCACACCGGGTTCTAGTCCCGGTCAGGGCGCCAGATTCTGTCCCGGTTGCCCCTCTTCCAGGCCAGCTCTCTGCTGTGGCCAGGGAGTGCAGTGGAGGATGGCCCAAGTGCTTGGGCCCTGCACCCCATGGGAGACCAGGAGAAGTACCTGGCTCCTGCCATCGGATCAGCGCGGTGCGCCAGCTGCAGCGCGCCGGCCGCAGCGGCCATTGGAGGGTGAACCAAGGGCAAAGGAAGACCTTTCTCTCTGTCTCTCTCTCTCTCACTGTCCACTCTGCCTGTCAAAAAAGAGTTACAGTGAGAAAGAGATCTTCCATCTGCTGTTTCACTCCCCAAATGGCTCAAATGGAACTGGGCCAATTCGAAGCCAGGAGCCAGGAGATTCTTCCATGTCTCCCACATGGGTGCAGGGGCCCAAGCATGGGGCCATCTTCTGCTACTTTCTCAGGTGCATTAGAAGGGAGCTGGATTGGAAGTAGAGCAGCCAGGACTTGAACCAGTACCCATATGGGATGCCAGTTTTGCAGGCTGTGGCTTTACCTGCTGTGTCTCAGTACTGGCTTCTCTCATGTTGAATCTACATCAGTTTGTTCCACTAGAGAAAACTGGCAATTCAACACACAGATGTATCTCTATATATTTTCGTGTACCTATACATGTATCTATATATACACACACGTATCTATATACATCTACATCTCCTGTTAATGTTACTTTTTTTTTTTTTTTGACAGGTAGAGTGGACAGTGAGAGAGAGAGACAGAAAGAAAGGTCTTCCTTTGCCGTTGGTTCACCCTCCAATGGCCGCTGCAGCCGGCGTGCTGCGGCCGGCGCACTGCGCTGATCCAATGGCAGGAGCCAGGTACTTCTCCTGGTCTCCCATGGGGTGCAGGGCCCAAACACTTGGGCCATCCTCCACTGCACTCCCTGGCCACAGCAGAGAGCTGGCCTGGAAGAGGGGCAACCAGGACAGAATCCAGCGCCCTGACCGGGACTAGAACCCGGTGTGCTGGCGCCGCAAGGTGGAGGATTAGCCTAGTGAGCCGCAGCACCGGCCAATGTTACCTTTTAAAATACAAGGGAATTTGCAGATGTAATTGAGGATCTTGAGGGGAGAAAATATCCTGGACTATCTGAGTAGGCCTGAAATAATTACAAGTATCCTTAAGAGAGAGGCAAGGTAAAAAATGAGAGCAGGTGACATGAAGACAGAAGCAACAACTGGAGTGATATGGCCAGGGGACAAAAAACATTTTTTTTTTTTTTGACAGGCAGAGTTAGACAGTGAGAGAGGGACAGAGAAAGGTCTTCCTCCTGTTGGTTCACCCCACAAATGGCCGCTATGGCCGGTGTGCTGCGCCAATCCGAAGCCAAGAGCCAGGTACTTCCTCCTGGTCTCCCATGCAGGTGCAGGGGTCCAAGCACTTTGGCCATCCTCCACTGCCTTCCGGGGCCACAGCAGAGAGCTGGACTGGAAGAGGAGCAACCGGCACAGAATCTGGCACCCCAACCAGGACTAGAACCCGGGGTGCTGGCGCTGCAGGTGGAGGATTAGCCAAGTGAGCCACGGCGCTGGCCAACAACATCTCTTAAGAGGTGGTCAGTTAGAAGACAGCACAGGGGCTGGTGCTGTGGTGCAGCATGTTAAAAGTCCTGGCCTGGGCTGGTGCTGTGGCTCACTAGGTTAATCCTCCTCCTGCGGCACCAACATCCCATATGGGCACCAATTCTAGTCCCGGTTGCTCCTCTTCCAGTCCAGCTTTCTGCTGTGGCCCAGAAAGGCAGTGGAGGATGACCCAAGTGCTTGGGCCCCTGCATGCGCATTGGAGAATGTGGGGGGAAGCACTTGGCTCCTGGCTTCAGATTGGCGTAGCTCTAGCCATGGCAGCCATTTGGGGGGTGAGCCAATGGAAAGAATACCTTTCTCTCTATCTGTCAAATAAAAATAAATAAACATTAAAAAGCCCTGGCCTGCAGCACCAGCGTCCCATATGGGTGCAGGTTTGAGTCCACTTCCAGTCCAGCTCCCTGCTAATGTGCTTGGGAAATCAACGGAGGGTGGCCAAAGTCCTTGGGCCCCTGCACCCATGTGGGAGACACTGGAGCTCCTGGCTCTTTGGATCACCTCAGCTCCAGCCATTGTGGCCAATTGCAAAGTGAAGCAGCAGATGGAAGACCTCTCTCTCTCTCTACCTCTCTGTGTAATTCTTTCAAATAAATAAAATTAATCTTTTAAAAAAATGTTTGCCATCATTCACCATTGACCCTTGCTATTTTTTAATTCAAATACCACAGTCTATCAACTCTTTCATAATTTTGAATTTCCATCCTTAGAGCTTTTTCCTCAAGAATAGGATCACATAAAAAATAAAGATTTAAAAAAAAAAGAATAGGATGTTACTTCATTGTCTAGGAGTACTGTGTTTTGCTTATGACGTTCTTTCCTCACTGTTCATCATATTGTTGGCTGCCTTGGCCATAGTACCTCATCTGTATGATGTCTTCAGTAGCTTGCCTGTGGATATTGAAGTCTGCCGGTTTCTCATTCACACTGCCTTGTGGTATCAAAAAGTGTGAACAACAACAATGAAAGACACAAGGAATTGCTGAAGGAGTCTCTTCATTATTCTGCTAATAGAATACCTGTAAAATACTCTACAAGAACTTTCACCTGCTTCATGAAACCTCAAAACAAATCTCTGAGGCTATCAGGATCAAGCCCACTTAACAGATGAAGAAAACTTACAGAACATTCATGGTGTTTTCTAGATTTGGATCCTCTGTTTTTCACATAGTGCCTTCTTCGCTACCAATCAGGAACTCAGCATTTTTCTTTTCCTTCCTAGAAAGCATTTCCTTCATATCAGTTTTGTCTAGAATATTTACCATTCATCTTCTGTCGTCTTCCTTAGTTATCTTCAGCAAATCACAAATTCACTGTTGCTGTCTTTAATTCATGAGTTCTTCTAAAGCTTCAAGTAGCACCAAGGTGGCAAAGTTTTGTAAATTAGTACATAGTTGACAATAATTAACACAAAAAATCATTTTCAGTCCATATAAAACACTGCTGATAGGGCAGGCATTTGTCTTAGTGGTTATGACTCTGCTTGGGACACCCACAACCCCTACTGCAGTGCCTGGTTCAAGTCTGGGCTCAGCTTTCCATCCCAGTTTCCTGCTAATGCAGCCTCGTGTTTGCCACTCACAGCTTTGGGTTGGCCAGTTCTGGTTGTCCTGGGCATTCGGGGAGTGATGAGCCAATTAAAGATCTCTCAAATAAAGTAAAAAAATAAAACTAAATCAAACCAATGGCTGGTGTGTATAGAAAACGGCCATGAACAAATTTGATGCCAAGCTTAATAACCCAAAGTCTTTCTTGTTCGCAAGATGCTAGCTCCGTTCCAGTTGTTTTCGCTCCCTCGACGCGGGCTGCACTCTCAAGGGCCCCTTGTCGTCTGAAGACACCGCGCCTCCTTGGGCTCCTCCGGAACGGCTCTGTTTTCCTGGACACTGGTTTGCTGGACATTGCGAGTGGCTGGGGGCGGGGGGGCTCCCCAGTTTCCAAGCCACTGTGACTTACCTGCCGTGGCTCACTGCGGTTGTCCCTGAAATGCCATTAGGTCACCCACTGGGCCGAGCCGCGCCTCTGACCGTTTCTGGCCTGCTCTTCAGTCAGTATTTGTTCCGGGACGCCGGGCGGGAGATGGCGTTTATCCCCTCCCCACTTCCTGGGGGTGTCCGGCCTTCCCATTCCGGACGCGGCGGCCGCACCTTCCTGTCCAAACACCACACCGGAGGACCTCGGAACCGCTCCCGTCGCCCTCCTCACCGGCCGGCCCCAGAAGGCTTCCGCGGCCTGCGCATGCGGACTCGGCGGCCGCCTCACGGACTCTCCCGCCGCCTCCCTCCCGCCGGCCGCGGCGGTTTGGGGCTCGCTGACAGCTCCACGACCGACGGACGCAGCCTCCTCTCGAGCTTCCACGTTATCCTATCAGAAACGGGGCGGGGCGGGGGCCTCCGCAGCCTATCAGCGCGAACCACGACCCAGGCGAGCCCAGTAGGAAAGCGGCCAGGAAGAAGGCGATTGGACGGCGGCGTCGCCGCGGGGCGTAGCGTCGGCACGGCCCCGCCCACCGCTGCCTGCCTCGGCTGGCGCCAGCAGCCTCTTAGGCCTGAGCGAGAACGCACGGCGGGCGGGCGGGCGCCGCGGAAGCTTGAGCGCCGGCGCGGGCTGCTGGGCCCGGCACCCTTCGGCGTCCTCGGACATGGTGGCCCCCGGCTCAGTGACCAGCCGGCTGGGCTCAGTGTTCCCCTTCCTGCTGGTCCTGGTGGACCTGCAGTACGAAGGTGAGTCCAGCCCTGCCGTGGCGGAAGGAGTGGACTCCGGGGCCGGGCCCCACTGCACCTCCTCGTCTACACTCGGGGCGCGAGTGTTGGGGTGGCTCGGGCAGTGGGGCGAGGGCGACCACGGCCGGGCCTGGGCCTGAGCCCGCGGCTGGGCGGGGGCCGGAGCCCGGTTCCGGGTTTGTCTGTGGAAGAGGTGAGGGGACCGGCGGGCCGCGGGGCCGGAACAGCGAGTTTGGGGTGAGGAGCGGGGTCCGAGGGGGCGGCCGTGGCGCTTCCCGGGCGGCGACCGGGACGCCGAGGCTGGGGCAGCCGGCGGGTCCCGCCAGGGTCTCCTGGGACCCTGGTTGGCGCCCGGGGATGCCGTGGGTCAGGAGGGCCTGCAGGAGGTGGTGGAAGTGGCCAAAAAGGGGGTGGTTTCTTTGCCGTGGAGTTCGGGGCGGCGGTGGGTGGGTGGAAGTGGAGTGGGGCGGCGTTGGCTGTTTAATGAACAGAGTGACCATCCCTCTTCCGTAGGCTGCGTCGCTCGTGGTGGTCCTTAAGCTGGTGCATTTAGAGCTAGGGTTGGCTTGGGGCTCCCGGGGGGCAGCGCGCTGGGTTTGTCGTCTTGCAACTCCCGACGTGGTGTCATGCCACTTAGGTTCGCCTTGCTTTTCTGAGTTCTCTGAGAAAGGGCCCCTCACAAACTTAGGAGAGCTTACGTTTCACTTGGGTCCTGTAGTCTGGAGTGTTGGCCTCTCCCACGGAACAGCCGAAGTGGAGAGGAGGAAGAGTTAAAGTCGCCTGTGCCAGTTGGACCAATGCTCCCGTCTTGGTTGCTGTGTGAAATATTCGAGTATAATGATATATTGGTCACGTGCACTGATCTATTTTCATCCCCATAAAAAGGACTCCTTGGCAAGGAGGTCAAATTAAACACTCGAATATTCCATTCACAGGGAGTGAGGAAACAAAGTTAGAAATTGTTGATGGTAGGGGCCGGCGCCGGGGTGCACTAGGCTAATCCTGCGCCGGCACCCCGGGTTCTAGTCGCATTTGGGGCGCCGGTTCTGTCTCGGTTTCCCCTCTTCCAGTCCAGCTCTCTGCTGTGGCCCGGGAGTGCAGTGGAGGATGGCCCAGGTGCTTGGGCCTTGCAACCGCTTGGGAGATGAGGAAGAAGCACCTGGCTCCTGGCTTCGGCTCCGCGCAGCTCCGGCCGTTTTGGGGGGGTGAACTAACAGAAGGAAGCCCTTTCTCTCTCTCTCTCTCTGTCTCTCTCTCTCTAACTCTGACTGTCAAAAAAAAAAAAAAAGTTATTGACGGTAAAATCCTCTCCAAATGTTGAACTCTTTTGTTTTTAAAAAGATTTATTTATTTGAAAAGCAGAATGATGGAGAGAGAGAGAGAGAGAGAGAGAGAGAGAGAGAGAGAGAGAGATAGATAGATAGATGGAGAGAGAGATCTTCCTTCTGCTGGTTCCCTTCCCAAATGGCTACAACAGCCAGGGCTGGGCTAGGCCCAGTGCAGGAGCCTGAACTCTGTTGTGCTCTTCCACATGAGTAGCAGGGTCCCAAGTACTTGGGCCCTTTTCTGCTGCTTTCCCAAGTGCATTAGCAGGAAGCTGGACTTGGAAGCAGAGCAGCCAAGACTTGAACTAACACTCTTTGATATGGGATGCTGGTGACACACACAAACAATGCCTTAACCCGCTGTGCCACAATGCCCACCCTCTTTTGCCTGTTATTTGCTAAGAATAATACTCTCCTCTTTTTAGGTCGTATTCAGCACAGTGGCTTTTTGTTTTTCTTTTTGGTTCACCATTGACCATATAGTTTTTGAATTCCAGTTCAACAGATGTAGTGTGACAGCACTGGGACCAAGAGTTTGACAGCTTGGCTGCCCCCCACCCCAGAATATCTAGTCACATTAATGTGGCTCATATATTTTATTCCCTGGCATCTTCTAATTCTTAATCTCCCTTTTCCCCCTTCTGTAGTATTTATTCTGTAGTGATAGCATTAATGATTTGGTTTGAACACTGAAGAGAAAGTTGCTTGTGCTCTGCTTAATGTCATTTTTAAAAAAAGTTTAAGTCACAGTGGTGCACTTTTCTATAATTTTCATTTTTTTTCCCACTAGCTTATAGATCACCTTTTAAAAATTGTTGTTCTGTTTATGATTCTATAAGACTCTCAACACTTCATTTCCCTCTTGTGGTGTTTTCCTTAGGAGAACTTCATTAGGTTTACTGTAAGGTGTTGGTGACATTTCTCAGAGTATTCCTTTCTTAGGAGCATTGCTTGTGTAAAGTAGCAGGGCCCGAGTACTTGTGATGAAGAAAAGAAAGGAGCCTGTCTGTAAGCCACTTACCCATAGCCATATGTGGTGCTATTCCTCCTTTACTAATGGGGGAGCTGAGGATCCTACAGCTTGATGAAGGCTCATCTTGTGTGCACATTGGAGACAGAAGTTGTTTACAACACTTGTGGGTCTAAGCATTTGGTAACTGAGAACTAGTTTTTTTTTGTTTTGCTTTTTTTTTTTTCCGGTTGTTACCCTCTGACAGTGATTAACAGGAAGGGGATTTTTCTGGCAGGTTTACTACAGTGGTTCTCAAACTTAAGTATGCACCAGAATCTCACATGGAGGACATTTAAAAGCATAGTGCTGGGTCCCACTTCCAGAATTTGATTCAGTAGGTCTTGGTGGTGCCTGAAAATTTTTTTCTAAAAAAAAATAACCAAGGTAGCAGGTGGTTGCCCAGGTGCTTGGGTGCCTCCCACCTGTGGCCCAAGTACTTGAGTCCTGGCTTCAGTCTGGCCCAGCTGGGTTATTGCAGGCATTTGGGAAGTGAGCCAGTGGATGGGAGAGATCTCTCTCTCTGCCTTTAAAATAAAATTTAATTAAGATTCCAGGGGACCACATGTTGAGGACTACTGGTATAATAAGCTATATGGAGAAGTTAATTTAGTTTTCTATTTATATTAAACACTAGATTTTGTGTTGGGGATTTAAGATGCTTTGCTTTGAATTAGCAAAGTTCCTGTCTTCCAAATATGTTCTGTGTCTGGATTCACAGACCTTCTAGTTTTCAGGGAGGCATCCTGGTCCGAGGGTGCGCATGCTAGGCCAGGTATTGGTGGCAGAAGAAATAAAGTAGAATGGGGTGTGAGAAGAGCGAGTTTGAAAGAAAGAGTTGCATATGGTTAAGAATGTTACCAATAATTAGCTTAGATGGCCTAGTTTTCTCTGATTTTAAAATATTTGTCTTTTGTTTTCTTTTGAACTTTTCTATTAACTAATCCAAAGAAGGAAAACCTTAAGGTTGTAAGTTGAGAAGCTGGTGCCTAGCATCTACTTAAAGGCCTTTGAAAGGGAAGTCCAGAGCACTAGGTTAGAAATAGGATTTTTGGAGTAGAAAGAAAACTTTAGCAGTATGTATGTTAGAATGCTCTTGCTACAGGTATAGGAGTTATTTTGATTATTTGTTATGATTTGTTCTATTTAGTGATTTAAGTAGGAACACAGCCTGGGAACCAAACTTTTTCTTTTATCATAGTTTTATATCTTTTTCTTCCTTGTCTGGACTTTTTTTTTTTTTTAAAGATTTTATTTGAGAGGTAGACAGAAGGAGAGACAGAAAGGTCTTCCACAATGCAGGCCCCTCAATTTTTCTTTTATTTCACTGAACTGAGTTGAATATGTCATATAATTTGGCCACAGGGAAAAGAATAGTTGAAAATTTATATGGATTAAAATCATGATTTTTATTTCAACCTAACTTACTAAAATAGGCATGCTTTGTCTTCTGTAAAATTTCTTGACATAAAGACTAAATAAAGTAGCAAATATGAATGAATTTAATTTATTTAAACTATACAGATAACTTCTAGAATTACTTTAAATTCTTTAATAAGATAGTAGTATCAGTAGTACCTGTTAATTGGAGTAGTTTCATTTTTTGAGAGTACCTGGAAATGCAGTAATTTTCATTCTGTGAGATAGGGGAAGTTCTGAGATGGAGTACCTTGTAGTAATTAGGCTTTATTTTCCTGTATGAAACTAATTAATTGTGGTTAAGTTTAATGTCTATCACCATGTTCTTTCTTTGATTAATTTTGAACAGTTACGTCATGGGAACATAGTCACCTGTTCTCAAAAACTCAAACATAAATTTATTTATCTTTCCATACCTCTTGAAAGTTGCATTTGTTGCATTTGGAGTTCTGGAATATGGGAGTGGCTTGTTTAATCAGTCAGCAAAGGTTTACCTTGTATCTTTTGGAGAGGTAAACATAGTGTAAAACTCATGGCTTTTGCCTTTGCCTTTTTAGACCAATTGGTAATATGAGACATGGATTTGTGAAGCATCCATGTCCTTTTTCTCTCCTTTCTTAGATTAGATTAAATGGTGTATCATCATAGTCACTTCATTGCAAACATCATTTACTTTTCTTACCCCTGTATTCTTTGGTTTTTGTGTGCCTGGAGTATCCTAACACTGATTAAATCCAGCTTGGCTGGTTTTTTGTTCTTCAGAGCTGAAAAGTGCTGTCCACATCCATATTTACTGCACTACCTTTTCTTTTACTGAAGTACATGAAACATCTCTAGCTCTATTTTCTCTCCTGAAAATTTTGCCTCTAAACTTGTGTCTTTGTGCTGCTTTAACAGAATACCACAAAATGGTAATTTATAAACAACATAAATTTCTCATAGTTCCAGAAGCTGGGAATTTTTGTGTGTGTGTGTGTGTGTGTGTGTGTGTGTTTTTCAGGCAGAGTTAGACAGTGAGACAGAGAGGAGAAAGGTCTTCCTTCCGTTGGTTCACCCCCCAAATGGCCACTACGGCTGGCGCGCTGTGCCGATCCGAAGCCAGGAGCCAGGTGCGTCCTCCTGGTCTCCTGTGCGGGTGCAGGGGCCAAGCACTTGGGCCATTTCCACTGCCTTCCTGGGCCACAGCAGAGGGCTGGACTGGAAGAGGAGCAACCGGGACAGAACCGGTGCCCCAACCAGGACTAGAA